GTACATTTTAGATATACATAATGATAACATTCAGCATAGGGTATTTGTACCTGTATATGATATATATTGATTCTTATTTTTTTCCCATTCCCCTCCCCTACCTTCAACCCTTCTTCTCCTTCTTATTTACAAAAGCTTTATTTCCATTTTTTCCTTCTATTCTCTTTTTTTCTTTTCCCTTCCTTCCTTTCTCCCTCCCACCTCCCTAGTTCATCTGTGCATTTGAATGTTTTCTTCCTGTTTCACAATATCTGTTTTACGTTTTCATCCTTATTTACCCATTCAGTTTTGGCATCAGAGAAACAGTGTGATAGTTAAACATGTATGTCCAATTTATTTCACATAAGGGTATGGTCTCAAGGTACATCCATTGACCTAGAAATGTCTCTAGTTTATCCTTCTTTATGAAAGAGAAGTACTCCATTGTATGAAAGAACCACAACCTTTTTATTTATTTATTTATTTATTTAGGTACCGGGGATCGAACCCGGGTCCTTGCATTTGTGAGGCAGGCAGCAGAACCACTGAGCTAAATCCCCCGCCCAAAAGAACCACATCTTTATCCATTCATTGGTTGATGGGCATTTGGGCTGTTTCTAAGATTTAGCTATTACACACTGTGCTGATATAAACATGGGTGAGCATATATCTCTGTGATATGATACTTTTAATTCATTCAGGAAGATACCAAGAAGAGGAATAGCTGGGTCAAATGGAACCTCTAGATTTCATGTTTTGAGGAATCTCCACACTGATTTAAAAAGTTGGTGCAGCAGTCTACACTCCCACCAACAGTTAAAAGAGTTCTTTTTTCCCCAGAGCCCCACCAGCATTTGTTATTGGTTGATTTCTTGATGATAGCCATTCTTTCTGGGGTGAGATGGAATCTGAATGTTGTTTCAATTTGCATCTCTCGAATGATCAGTGATGTTGAACATTTTTTCATACATTTATTTGGTGTTTGCACTTCCTCATCTGAGAAATGTCTATTCATTTCAGATGCCCATTTTTGGATTGAGTCTTTAATTTGGGGAGTCTGAGTTTTTTAATATATATATTCTAGGTAGTAGTCCTTTGTCTGAGGAACAGCTGGCAAATATATTTTCTCACACTGTGGTTTGTTTCTTCATTCTGTTGGTGGTTTCTTTTGCTATGCAAAAGCTTTTAATAAGATGAGATGCAAGTTGTCGATTCTTTGTGATATTTCCTGTGCAATCCAGGTTTTGTTCCTAAAGTCTTTGCCTAAACCTATGTCTTCAAGAGTTTACCTTTTCTACCTTCCAGTAAATTTAGTGTTTCTGTTTTATTATTTAGATCTTCCATTCATTTTGATTTTAGTGTAATACATGGTGAGAGATACGGGTCTAGTTTTAATCTTTGGCATGCGAAAAGCCAGTTTTTTCAGCACCATATATTAAAGAGGCTTTCTTCCAGTGAAGGTGTTTGGCTCCTTTGTCAAAGATAAGGTGGCTGAGTGTGTTTGGAATTGTTTCTGCATCTTCTATTATGTTCCTTTGATCCTTGGGTCTATTTTTTTTTTTGGTACTACCATACTGTTTTTTATCACAGTAGCTTTGTAGTATAATTTCAAGTCAGGGATTGTGATGATGTTTGCCTTCCTTTTGTTGCCCAGAATTGCTTTTTATATTCTAGATCTCTTCTGGTTCCAAATGAATTTTAGGATTGTTTTCTCTAGTTTTGTGAGGTATGCTATTAATATTTTTATTGGGATTGCATTTGATCAGTATAAGAGTTTGGAAGTGTGGCCATTTTCACTCTGCCTATTCAAGAACAAGAGATATCTTCTTTCATCTTTTTCAGAGTACTGTAGTTTTCAATGTAAATGTCTTTTACTTCTTCTGTTACATTGATTCCTAAGTATTTCATTTCTCTTCAAGTCATTGCGAAAGGTGTTGTTTTTCTAATTTCTCTTTCATTGAGCTTGTTATTTGTGTACAGGAATGCTATCAATTTTGGGGTGTTGATTTTGTATCCTGCTATGCTACTGAATTTGATTATTAAATCTAGAAGTCTTTTGGTGGAGTTTTTTCGGATCTTCTAGGTAGAGTATCATATCATCCACAAATAATGATAGTTTAACTTCTTCCTTTCCTATCCTTATTCCTTTTATTTCTTTCTCTTGTCTCATTTCTCTAACTAATGTTTCTAGGACTGTATTGAATAGGAGTGGTGATAGTGGGAATCCTTGTCTTATTCCTGATTCTAGAGTGAAAGTTTTCAGTTTTTGACCAGTTAGTTTGTCATAGATGGCTTTTATCAGTTTGAGATAAAGACCTTTTGTTGTAATTTTCTGTATTTTTATTTGCAAAATGTGAAAACCTAATATTCACTTCATACTTATGTTTTTGAATCTGTATTTCACAATATGAAATTTTTTTGCTACTTTATTAACAGCTAGCATTTTTTCTACTTAGCATTGTCCCATACTAATTATTGTAATATAAGGGGGAAAAGAACCTCTGGAATACCAGGGAGCTAAAATATTATAATATAAAAATAGTATATTGCAAAAAGTATTATTTGTTCTTAGATGTAAAAACTGACATTTATTGAGGGCCTACCATGTGCCAGGTACTTTATGTACATAATGCCATTTAATCTTTACAAAACTCTCTGGGAAGGGGTAATATTCTCATTTACAATTGAGAAGAAGATGTGACACTAAAAGGGTAAGTAACTTTCCAAATTCTTCAAGAAATGCTAAAAATCAGGAAGAAACCTGGGTTTCAATTAGAGACCAATCATTTATTTTACTACATCATACTGCCCGTATAATTAATATTGATTTGTTCAGGTGACAGATTTCTGTTTCAAATAAATTTATATGCAAAATGAAGAGGTAGAGTCGTGCTTGTTCATAAGCATGTCTTTTTTCATCAAAAAACAAAACTAAATAAAGGCATATTTTTATTTATTTATTTTTTTAGTCCGGGGACCGAACTCGGGTCCTTGCACTTGTGCAGCAGGCGGTGAAACCACTGAGCTAAATCCCTGGTTCTTTATTTCATTTTTTATGACTTTCTTGCATTTTTTAAAGTATTTTTTAAAAATTAATTTTATTGGTACATTTTAGGTATACAATGTAGTGACATTCATCATTGGAAATTTGCACCTTTACATAATCTCTCTTGGTTCTTATTTTTC